TGGTTCCCAGTCGACAGTAGGTTGTGCGCAGTGAGACTTAGAGGTGCGTGCAAAGTAAGCAGCCGTCGCCCCGAAAGACGAAACCTGTTTGTCGTGCCGGTGAACGCTTCAACGGACTGCAGCTCAGATGCAGTCAAAGATAAATTTTATCATAACCTACACGACCTCTTGCGTAAAACAAGTCGGGCTAATATCGTGATTTTAGCAGGAGATATGAATGCTAGAGTAGGTCGGCTGACTTCGAGTGAGGTGCATCTGGGAGGTCTTTTCGGACTAGATTTCTGTCGCTCGGAAAACGGAGAACGGCTGTTGGCTCTCTGTTCTGACCACTGCCTGTCTCAGCAGAACCACCTGGGGCGGAAATCCGTGTGAAGATCCAAGCCTCGGGACGTCGCAAAGCGCCGGGCTCCGATGGCCTTTCCTCAGCTCTATTTAAAGATGGTGGAATTAAGCTTGTTAGAGAATCACAATTTCTTTTCTCTAAGGTTTGGAACAGTGAGCAGCTCCCCTCCTCGTGGGGGGAGTTGATTGTCGTTCCCATCTTCAAAAAGGGCCCACGCAATGACTGCGTCAATCATAGGGATATAAGCCTAATCCCGATAGCGTCAAAGCTGTTGGCGTCCGTCATTCTCCGCCGATTGTACTCTACGTGTGAGGAGCAGACCCGCGAGGCGCAGGCTGGGTTTCTTGGCGGTCGTGGCTGCATTGATCAAATCCTCACCCTCCGACAGCTGCTAGAGCACCTTCATGCTTATCAAAGACCAACGTTCATTGTATTCTTAGACATCCGCGCGGCCTTCAACTCTGTCGATAGGACCGCACTATGGAACTGCTTGTTGAGGAATGGAGTGCCTGAGAAGTATGTGTCGATCCTCAAAGAGTTGTGTCATCATACCTCAGGTCGGGTAAGGGCCCATAGCCAGCTTTCGCCACCCTTCGCCGTCTCTAATGCAGTTCGACAAGGTTTCTCTACATCCCCATTCCTTTTCAACTTTGTCATAGAGGATGCTCTACAGAACGCTTTGTCCGGTCTAGCAAACAGTGGAGTCGAACTCCTTACAAGGAACACATTTCTTGATTCGGAATATGCCCATGACATCGCCTTGCTGGGTGAAACACACAGGCATTCCAAGACGCTTTAAACCGCTTGGTGATAGAGGTATCCAGGTATGGCATGTGCTTTGCACCTTCAAAGTACAAAGTGCTTGTTCAGGACTGGCAGGAGCCTGTGCCTGCACTCACCCTCTGTGGTGATGAGCTGGAAGTAGTTAAGAGCTTTAGGTACCTCGGTAGCTTGATCGCAGCTGGTGTTGGTATTGGGGAGGAGATCAAATCACAACCTGTGACACCTGTGGCGCCGCCGTGATATCCGACTATTCCTTAAGGGAAGGCTTTATGTCGCTACAGTTCGTAGCGTTTTGCTTTACGGTTGCGAGACCTGGCCTCTCCGCGTTAAGGATGCTAATCGACTTTCTGTATTCGACCACCGATTTCTCCGAAGCATTGCTCGTGTCTGGTGGGAACATCGGATGAGCAATGACGAGGTCCGTCATCGTGTGTTGAGTGTGGATAGTCGTTCCCTCACAGAAGTAATCGCTCTACACCGCCTCCGATGACTTGGTCACGTGTTGTGTATGCCTGTCCATCGACTACCTTTCCGTGCTCTCTTCGCACGTGCCGGGCAAGGCTGGAAGAAGCGCCGTGGCGGTCAGACCATGACATGGCGTAGAGGTATGAAGAAGCTGACTTCAGCTCTCGCTTCGGTTGGTGCAGCCCGCCTCCCGGGTTGGGGCCTAAGGGATGAGGATTGTCGTTGGTTAAAGATACTGGGAGATATGGCCCAGAATAGTAGTCAGTGGTGCGAATGATGTACGGTTTGCCTGTCGAAATCCCGTGCCCAATAAGAAAAAAGACAAACTAACACAAAAAATTTCAAAATGTGTACGGTGAAACAGAAAAAACTGTGATCCCATTTATTTGCTATTTTCCATTTTAACAGTTTCATCTTTTTCCTATGTTCTGTATCCCAACCTGCCCTCCTGTATTGCTATCGTTATTATTGTTTTGGCGTTGCCATCATGCTTGTCTGCTAGCCGGTGTTCAAGTCACATATATCGCCCACAGTGAAATCATGGAACTTGTTCTGTTTTTATAAAGATTATTGTACTGTACTTTGTTTAACACAGTCTGGACTGAGACGTGTGTGAAATGTATAATTGAGGTGGATTTACTTGTTACATAGTCCACGAATTAAAGGCAGTTGTCTTATATGCGTAGAGCAGTTTTGACGTTCAGGTAATCTTGAACTTCATTGGATATACGCTTGAGCGTTGTGTTTCAATCATGAATTATAAATGTTGGTGTCTTTGGTGACCACTTGATTATATTCGTCATTTTTCCTGGTCTGGCCTCAATAGCATTTCACATCCCAAGGGTAATTTCTAGGATTATTCAGTTTAGAAAAGTTGTAATCTAAATCCGTTTGATCTCTGTACGGAATTGAGTTGTATTGTCATCATGTTGAATGTGATTGATTAACCATAGTACGTACCAATTAGTTTAATTTAGTGCATGCAATTTTGTATATCGGTTTTGGTTGCTGTCTTCTGGCGCCTCCAAAAGCCTCCATATGGTCTTGGGTGGGTGTCTATGGTTGCGGCTGATCACCCTGCCCTTGCACCTAGTGAAATGCTCCTATACTACCAAGTGTCTCGAATAGCCTCTGCTGAGAAAGTCCTACTTATTGCCTTTTCGTGGCAGAGGTGTTTTCCCACCACAGTAAGAGGACAAAAAGCCGAAGTCTGGGACTATACGCGGGTTGGTGGACCAGTGGCAGTTCACCTAGGGAGTTGGCGAAGAACCCTGATTCCAAACTAACCGTAATGAGGCGTGCGAACCACACCCGCACCTTTTCGGTTGTGTTAGTGGTCACCGGTTCGATTGGGCACTTTGTACGTTTGACCCCTTCGGAAGGGCGAATGATCCGATGAAGTGGACACCGGCTCCCATTGGTCTGCGGTTTTCACACCCCCGCTGGATTGCCGGTCAGGTTTTGGCTAGCCGAAGGCTCCGGTTGTGAAATCCTCAAGAAAATTCACCTGCCTTGGCCTGGGCAACCTGGTAGTATTCAGCGCACAAGCCAATCATAGAACGGTTTTTCTTTTTTAGAAAGAATATTGTACCATGATTTGCCTGGCACATAGTCTGTCCTCAGACAAGTGTGAAAAATACTCATATGTACTGTCCTCTGGGTGCCCATTTGGATCAAACAGTAGGAGAAGGACTGTAAGGTTGAAACCAGTGTCGAAGCAGTTAGGGACTAATAATGTTCTTATTGAGCATCTACTTATAAAAGTAGATGCTCAATTGAAACGTTTCAATATGGATTGGATACTGTGAGTGGTCACATGCGTCAAAATGTTTGCTAACCATAAACTCAACAAGGGCAATGTGCGATTCACTACAGGGCCCCAGAAGAATTGCAAAAGTACCCAGCAATCAAGATAAAGCCTTTTGATGTTAATCATAGTTGTAGCGGGATATAACATGGAGATTTAGGCAAACCATGTGAGTAATGGTTTTTTGTCCGTCACTCATGAACAGGGTTTGTGATCGGGGTTGTTACAATCTATCCTAATTTTTTGGAACACAATCCAGTCATTTCTGTGGCTTTTGTTTTTACGGTTGTTTAGTGTAGCTGAACATGCATATCGTGTTATATCCAGTTCCTACTTCAATTAATGGTATTGAGTTTGTTGTGCTTTTCCATTTGTAAATATCTTTTCTAATAGTGATTAACCCTAACGTGCCTATTTCACTTTTTTCTCATCATTGAGGCTTAAATATCCTTCTTTCTCACTTTGCATTATAGGCAGAACATATAATGAAAAAGTCTGAAAACTTTTCAAAAGATGACAGAATAACTGTTCCCCTCAAAGATGATGTCAGTCTTATCAATGGTGTTCCTGAAGAACATCTATCTACACGTATGGCACGCATTTTCATCCCGGCCAAATCAGCCACACAATCTGGTACACATGGAACTCGGCTTTGGCGCGTAGAGTTTGACAATCGTGAACGTTGGGAGAATCCGTTAATGGGTTGGGCTAGCTCCGGCGATCCCTTATCCAACCTGATATTACAGTTCAAAACTGCTGAAGATGCCCAGGAGTTCTGTCGGAAACAGGGTTGGCCATGTTATGTAGAAGAACCGCACAAGCCAAAGATGCGAATGCAGTCCTATGGTGTGAATTTCTCGTGGAATAAACGAACCCGTGTCGGCACAAAATAGAAGAAATCTACGAATCAAGACAAAACAATTTGGTCGTAAAACTTTCTTTTGGACGCTTAGACCGCGTTTTGAAATTAGAATAATAAACTAATCCCAACTCACTTGTTCTTCTGTTTGTCTCATGTTTGTCATTTGATGTTATATACTTAATGGTGTCTAAGGTCTGATTATCTCCTCTTACAACGTGCCTTTGGGTTTAATCCTTAATAGCTTTGCATAGTTTTGCTATCTCTCGGAGCATTTTTGATTGCTCGTAGTCAGTCGTGATCATGTTGCAAATTGGTTTATTTTTGTTTACCGGAATGGTAATAAAGAGGCTTGGTTGCCGCATCTGTTTGTGAAACGGGAAATTCCATCGAAAAGTGGCAAACTGGTAATATCTGACAAGGAGGATAAATGTACTGGCTTAAAAGAACACCAACAATTTAAAAATTGCATTCCTGTCTATATTGGTCATACATCTTTTTCTAAATTGACCGGATAGAGCTAACCCGGTCGGTTCTGGCTACTTCGTCATTTCCATTTATGCTACTATAAGTCAGATAGTAATATAAGTGTGTTTCCAACATTTACGGGCTCGTAATTATCTGGCTGATCGGCATATTGGTGTCAGACTTCTCTCCTTTCCTTTCCAGCTTCGGCATTCGAGCCCTCTTCATCATGCCAATTTGTACAGATCGAGCTCGTCGACCAAATGCTGGTTCACGCATGGCTCAGTTATTGAATGAAGAAGAAGAGGATGAATTCTATACCAGTATCTATGGAGGCTTCACAGAGGTGCTATTTTCTCGCATTCCTTGGCAAATTTCTGATAACGAGTGATCTCATGACAGTGCATTTAATCATTTTCCAGATTCATATAGGAAACGTACTGTTATTTGGATTGAATATTGTTCAGAGCCGAACAGTAGTTCAGCGGAACACCTTCAGATGAAACTGGAGAATCTATACCTGTAGTTCCTGATATTGTTAACTTTCTCGCCAAAAAAATGAAACGGCTTTCAAATATTATTCCATGAACGTGGACTTAATGGGACAAAATGTGATTTCAATAAATTGACTAACCACTTTTACTGGAGAAAACACTGCTGAAAATGTATGATTTCCCACTAGAGATTATGAACAATTGAGTGAGGAATGTCTCGTGTTTAGATTTCTACAATCTGCAGTGATTTTGTAAAGACCAGCTTTCGTATGAAGGTTGGATCCAATCGGAGTAAGGTTACTTGCCCAAGATATTGACTTTGGTTGTAGTTGGGATGCATACGACCCGCTCAACTTGTCTGTGGGAAATAGATAAAGTGGGAAGATTTTTGATTCGTGTGCTTGAGGTTGAATTTCGGAAATACCAACCAAGTTTAAGAAAACCGTTTATAACTGCTGTTGAATTGATGTTAACTCAATAAATACGGCTAATGTAATTTCCTTAATCCTGTTCTGTTTTTTTCCCACCAAAATACGTTCTCTCAATTGCGTACTTTCTTACCCTGGTAAGTGAACTTCACTTGTGTTTTGTTATCTTTGCATCTTTTATCATCCAGGAAGCAGAAGATGTAGATTATGAGTCAGAAAGTTCCGTGGAAGACGTCATCGATTCCGATTTTGATGATGATACCGAAAATGGGGAGGATGACGCTGCGGCCTCCGATGGTAGCGATGAGAATGAAAAACCTAAAGGTCGCTCAAGGCGTGTAATCACCAAGGGCTATAAGGTGATTCCGTTTTTCTATTTTTATCTGATTAGCGTTCTCCTTGTGCGATGCTAGGCCCTACATCAAAATAGGATAGAAAGGTGTATTCCAATAGGTACTGAATAAACCCAACTTATCTGAGATAAAATAAGAATCCCAGATCGCGATAAAAATAGGGAGATAGTCAACAGTAAGTGATTACCTGTTTGTGTGTGTTTTATCGTCAACGTTAGCAATTAGCGTGAAGTTTGCTTTCGTGTGCAACTTGGTTAGATACGGGGTACTGACCAAATACTGAAGCCCCCTAGGTACTGTTCTATAATTCATGCTCATGAGTACTCCATAACAATTGTTTATTAACAGGCGCGACTTATGTAGTAATGCTTAGAAGTAACATGCTCATAATTGGACCATAGATGGCTTCACTCTTTCGGTACGCAGCCTATACTCAAACAAGTGTAAAATGTAACATGATTATATATACTCTCTGTTTCCTTTGATTTGCATAAATATAAGCAGGCAATCGGTTCTCATGCAGCCTGTCACGGCGTCTAAAGCAGTAAGTGTTCGCTGTACTTGGGATCCCAACTCGGGAGCCTGGAACGTCCTGACACTGCCAGTTTGGAGTTTATTGTCTTCATTATTCGAGCTTAAGTTATTCGTCGTCATTCTTATGGCCGCTTCCAGATAGCGTCAGTTTGCGCAAACATAACACTATGGAGCAGTCGATGAACCGGCATCCGCAACATATATCCGAGAAATCGAAGTCTCTGGAACGACATAACGCCAATCAGAGGATAACTGATTTTGTCTGATGCGAAGGTTCTTCGGTGAAAATCATCGTTGGTGATTAGCTATGCCAACATGTTCTGGGGATGCAGCGAAGGCAGCGGTGGTCAAAAATACTTAATCTCTGTGCATCCTCTACGTGAAAGCGGCCAGCCCTCGCAGCTGCAGAGTAAGACAGTATTACGGTACGGCAAACTCGACCTTTCACAGAGAGATGGATCGCGTCGGCGCCGCGTGTGACGTAGGTTGACGAAAGCTACCCTGACGTTGGGGATACACACGGGTTTCTTTTGTCAGTCCTCTTGAGCAGAAGCATTCACCAAGATAAGTAAAGTAATCTCCACCTGGTCGCTGGTGGGCGTGATGATGGGTGNATGGGTGTAACCTCTTACCAGTCTTGAATAAGACCTTGCATTTCGATGGATAAAAGGTCATACCGAACTGCGTGACATAATGCTAACTTTAACGTTTTAAGCGTCTTGGGAGGAGTCGCAGAGTACTACGATGTCGTCAGCATATTCCACGTCACGGAATGGATCACTTGGAAGAGGCTCCACACCGAAAGCTCAGCAGTTTTCTAGAGCGCTGCTTAGGATTTTGCCTATTGCTAAATTACAGAAAAGAGCGAAATCGGGCATCCTCGTCGGACTCTACTTGTGGCGGAGGAGATGTCATCACGGAACTTGACCCGGCCCGATGGTTTTAAGTAGCTGACATTGAGAAGTTATATCGACTGGGGTTGCAAGAATGCTGAGTAGATGCATGAACGCCACTGTTTGCGACACTCAGCC